CCAGAATTTGGCTTGGGTTTTTTGGCAGCTACCAGCCTCTCTTAAAAATATGTATTTTTATTATTCTAGACCTAAGCACCTGCAGTTCTTGACAGCAAAGGCTGCCACAAGCTGGTACACAATAACCACCTAGAAGAGCTTAGTTTCAACTATGAACAAAAGGTATTCAAGGACTACTTTTGTACAGTTGGGTTAAAAACATCTAAGACAGTACTGAACATCTGGTGACTGATCCAAAGAGGAAGCACATACTAGGAATGGCATAACAAAGAAAATTTAGAAGGGTGACACCTAACAACACATTAGACAAAATCCATATACAAAGCAGACTTCATGGGGCACTGAACTAGACACAATCGTGCTCTAGTAGGAGAGCACAGGAATGCTAGACAAAGGTTTCAAAAACTATGAGTGAGGATTTTTACCAAATTTTGTATCATTATTGCTTCAGGAGTCCTAGGACAGGGAAGGTCATGATCAGCACTGTGCTGAAGCTGACATCTGCACTGAACAAGTCTGTGGGAAGATACTGGGGTTCTCAGACCTGTCACCACTCTAGTATTTGATGGGTAGCAGGAAGCTTGGGAAAAAAAAAGAATTTTCCACAAAAGAATCCCTATATAGTGAATGAATTACAGGATTAAAAATCAAATACACAAACTTACTGAAATTAAATTTACAGCTAAACAGAAGACCAAAAGAGCTGTTCCAATAAGGAAGAGTCAACATTCAATACATGGTAAGTTTAGCTTTATAACAAACAGAAGGCAATGGTGAAGTTTATTTTATCTTACTCATTCCACAAGCTTCAGTGGCACAATCAGGAAACATCTGCAAATGAAGGGTCAGGGAAGCTTGGGTGCTTCTAGAAAACTGCTTCTTTCCTGCAAAGCAGGGACCAAGGAAAGAAGAGAGACATACCATTCTCATCTGCGTGTTCCCAAACACACTCATGTCAAATGCCCACAAGATTCATAGATAAGTGAATCATTGGAACAGTAATTTGCTCAAGAAGTGGAAGTCCCCACAGAGCTGTGGCTCTTGCCAACTTCCACAGGCATTTTATCTGCTCTACAGACAGTGGGGTTTTAATAATGTTGTCTTCTGCCTCTCATTAATACTCCCATATCCTCAGAAATGGATGCATCATTTTTGCTTTTAAAGCAGGGTGAACAGATCACTGACTCATCTCCATCCATTTTTGCTGTATTGGGTAAGCATAGCTGGCAAATTGTTTCTCTGGACCAGAATGCAAAAAAAAAAAAAATAATCTAGAAAGTTGTCAAGAGGAAAAAAACCAACAAGTTGAAAGTTCAGGAAAGAAATCTTTCCTCTATGAACTTAAATCGGAGGTGACCAGCTACAATGACACATTTAAATGGACAGTTTGCAATGAGAACACTGTACATACCATAAATGGGAAATCAGAAAATTGCCTTGAGGCAACTTTCTTCTGTCAGACAAAAAACCTTATTGCAACCCCCTTAGAAGGATTACCTTGACCATAACATGCATCTAAAGAGAAGCAAAACACCCAATTACAGAGCAATAGCCTATAATTAGGACTGAGTTTTGATGAAGCCAGGTTAGGATAACTCAAAAAGTGGTCATTTCACAAACAGCAGCAGCAAAATAGAAATATCACTATTATTTTGCACCTAGAGTAACCTTTAATCAGAGCAGCAGTGTTATGGTCAGTGTATTGCAGTCCACAATATCCATAGTGGAATCAACTGCCTTGCAGCAAATGCATAAAGATCTACAAATTCAACAACAGCTTTGACTTCTACCCTGTGTATGGCCAGACAAGAGAAGTAGCACAACTCCCAGAGTCCTAACTTAAAATCCTCAGCTCCGGACTCACTAAAGGTTCATGTCACTGTAGAAAAGCAGGACACGCTGCAACAGAGTTTGCAACAAAAACAGAACAAAACTTACTGGGGAAATTAAAGCAAGCACAAAATCCGCAGAATTCTTGTGCAGTGTTACTAGCACAGCTCCCACTGAGGCAACACACCATGTAGTCATCCACAAGAGTTTGTAACATTTATAATGGCAGTAGCTAGGTGATTACTAACTTCTAATACGCATTTCAAGGAAAAAAAACCTATTGCTATGTTAGAACAGCATGTTTCCCTTTTATAACAACACAACAAGTCCAAGGACTATGGATGCAGCAATGCATGCAGCATCTGGACTTGGGCAAGGCTCCTGACAGCATCTTACTTGCTGTTTCCATAAGCAATTTAGAAAAATGTGTATGCAGAACTAGGTTACAATGGTGTATACAACTCACTGAAAAAAAACACTCAAACTTGATTGCTGTCAAACTGGAACAATGTATCAAGTGATACCTTCAAGAGTTTGTCCAGAGACCAAAAGTATTCAACACAGTTATTAATTATCTACATGATGCAATACATGGCTTTGTTATTAAAGACCACGATGCTGTGGGGGAACTTGCAATCCTATTATACTATCAAAAGATAAATCAAAATAGTCTTGAATAATCTGAGAGGGAACCCACAGAGTGGATTTCTTCCTATTTGTTTCAATTAAGACACATGTAATCTACACTTCAGTAGGAATCCTCATCTATACCAGATGGAAAAAGCATTTGTTTGACAGAAGTTTTGCAGAAAGTAGTCTGAAGCAATTATGCATCAGAAAACAAAAGTGTAGCAACCATATATTTAAGTGGCAAGTTTTTCAGGATGATGTACAACACAAGAGTATCTTTGGTAGGACAGGTGAAAAAATTCTTCCCTCTCTAGTCAGCACTGACATGGCCTTAGTCAGAACCTTGTGTCCAGTTTTAAGCACCACATTTCTAGAAAGATATGAAGCAACTGCAGAGAATCCAGGGAAGGGGGTTAAAAAAAAAACAAACAACAGACTGGAGGTCTAGAAAACATGACATATAAGAAGAGATTGAAAGAACTGGGTTTGTTTATTCTGAAAAAAAAAAAAAAGAAAAAAAGACTATAAAGAGACATGATAACAGTCTTCAAAAATGTAAAAGATTGTTACAAGCAAGAAAAACGGCTTTCCACATATACTCCAGATAGAACTAGAAACAACAAGCTAAGATAGCAGCAAAGTATGTTTTTTCTAATGTCTAACTGAGAGAAAAATTAAACATTTCAAAGATTGCTGCTAGGGCCTGTGGAAGCGTTGAAGGTTTTTAAGAACAAACAGGCCTGGAACCAGCCAGTTATAAAAGGTTTTCACAGGACTGCTGAATGTACCATAAGACTTCCCAAAGTCTTATTCAATACACTTTGATTCTGTGTCGTAAGCATAAAATTTAATTCCTCTATTGTTATTTGTAACCACTCGTTGAGTTTATAATGACTACTCTCTTTATCTTAAGAGAAAAATATTCATTTTAGGAAGACAAGAAATGCTCTGTAGAAAATGCAGGAACTACTGACATTCCTCCAAGTGGTCTTTTCCAAACCACAATACAACAGAAGACAAGCATTGTCACTCATGACAGATGAGGAACAAGTTGTAGCCCTGAACCAGAAATGCGGTATGTTTTTTTGTTTTGGTGAGGTTTACTTATTAAAGTGGTTTTTATCTTCTTTATGAGATCTACTCTGTGAGAGGTCTGCTGAAAAAAGATGCAAGAAATTATAAAAAGGAGAGGTGATGAAAGTGAAGCCAAGGCCAAAATAAAAAGAGATATCACTTACTAAACTACAAGCAACGAGTCTTAGGGGGCAAATGAAGCTAAATAACCAGCTGATATGAGTTCTAGTCATTCTCAGTATTGCCAGGCAATAAATTTACGGGCCAGTAAATTAATCAGTGTAAATTACTGTAGAAGGTGGTCACTGCTCCTCTCCTCATACAGTATTTCCAAAACCACACAAATATGGAAAAAAACTCTGATCAAAAGCAACTACTAAGGTGCTTTTGTGAGGTCCTAAGCTTGTGGAAATTGCTTCTTAGCTACAGATGCTAGTCCACAGTCTGTGCTGTCAAACACCTTTTCGCTCCCAGGTCTTCAGAGGACAGTAGTAAAGGATTATGAAGCTGCATGTCAGACCAGATAGATGCCCTTACAATGTTATCTACACTGACAGACAGGGTTATGCAAAAGAAAGACAGTAATGCATCACAGGTTTCCAGACAGGGACATTTAACAGTGGTTTAGTTGAAGGTGGCAGTTTAGTATTTCTTAATGTTTTCTTAAATAAATTAAATCAAATTAGACCTTAGCTAGTATCCCAGAGGTTTTATTTATTTAAAGGTCCTAAAAAAGGGGATTATTAATAGTCTAATTTTTTTTCTCAGTGCAACTTCTAGCAAGGTGACATTTCTCTAGAAGAAAACTTAGGACAAACTTCTATAGTGCTTTGGAACTAGATAAAAATCCATGTCTTCTCTCTACAGTTCAGTAAATAATGTAGTTTTGGTTTAAGGTTCTGCTTTATTTTGGCTCTTCCTGTATTTCTAGAATAAACTATTCCCTTTATTCCACTGTGCTTTTTTTTTTTTTAACTACTGTCAAAATGGGCAGTGGTTTTAGTCTCTTGGCTTTAGAGTAAGTGGCTACTTAATCTAAAGAGCTGACATATTTGTCCACCCTCCTTTTAACTTTGGGTATATCACTAAATACAACTTTTAAACAGACATGTCAAAAAGTGTCAAGAATTTTTTTTTGTAGGGAAGACAAACAGACCAGCTTGCTCCCATTGCAAAATGACAGATGAGAAGACAAGACTTGTGCATCATCCGAGGAGCAGGGACAGCTCTGCATGGGCAAGTGGATGAGAACACAGCACACTTTGGTGAATATCTGGTCCAGGATGCTAAGAAACTGGACAGGGTCATATGCAGAATTTGTCAGAGAGAAACTGAAGTGATTTCAACAGGCAAGTTTGATGACTTATTGTGAGCATTCAGAATACATTTGACTTCTTAGGGCACACTACATGAGATACATTACTCTTCTCCCTCACCCCACTCCCACTAAGCCCAAGGAGGTTTACCAATATTTGGATGCTTTAGAAGTCGGCAGATTCGAGCTTCACGTTCCAGTTTCTGGTGATCTGAAAGAGAATAAGAAACAAGGTGTTAAGCACCACAACTCTGAATTAAACTGTCGTTCATATTCAATGAAGAAAGGAACACAGTGACCCAGCAGACATCCAGAAGGATGGAAATTGCTGAAATACGGCTGTCTCCGAAAACCTCAGAGTCATTCCAGGAGAGGGCTATGGAACCAAGGCTGCAGGACTATCTCTGCTTCTGCTACAGAGTTTGCTAGTACTAGACTGATAATCCCTCTTTTGATTCGAAGTGAGTAGCAGCAAAGACATTGCTCTTCCATCAGCCTCACCAATATACAAATATGTCCAGTGACATCCCTTCTTAGATTCACCCCCTTCTCCAAGGCTGGAGGGGAAGAGGAAAAGTCTCTGAAGAAATAGCCAGCATTAAATGGGAAGAGGATCTGCTTCCACTCCAGAGAAACAACCAGTGAAGAAGGGCAGAGTAGGAGGGAGAAATACACAGCTCCTGTCTGCACACAGCCGTCATATGAAGTAGGGAACTCTGCCAGCTCCAGTGAACTGTAAAGGTAACCATACTTCAGTGCCCATGGACAGACTCGCTGGTGAAATGCTTATCAAGCACTTAGAGATCTCCAGGAGAGAAGTTCTGCCCAAATGCTAAGTATATTCATTCCAGCCCAAAGGCAACCTCAGCTCAAGCATGACTGTCCTCTGGATTAAAGAAAAAAAAAATATCGAGGAGAGCTAAAAATGGTTTCTCCTCCCTAGAAACAGGACATACACAAGTGCAAGGAAAGGAGAGGGAGCTAGAGTAATTCTGCTCACCTCAGCCAAGAAGCAGGGAGCCTTTTAGCCACGGAGGCTCAGGCAGGAGACTTTTCACTACAGCAGTGATTGAGTCCTGAATTTTAACTACAAAGCCCTCATCCTCTCAGGTGAAATGCCCACATGGGACAAGCACAGATTCACTGAAAGGATCTGAGAGCAGCAAAGCCAGCTCTGACAACTGCTAAGCTCTAGACTTTTGCAGATGCAGATGCCTAGAAAGAGGCAAGGACTGCCCTTCCTCCCCAGTCCAGCCATCAAAAGAACACAGCATGGGGAAGCCACAGTCTGTGCCTGCTCCTGACATCTCTTCCATAGCAGATCTTCGTGGCAGAGGCTTGAAAACACACCTCTGCATCCCCTGTGACACACAAACCTTCACCGCAGGAGTTAGCAGGATCCTTGGCTGGCTGGGCTATGCAGATAACCTCTGGTAGGAATGTAGCATCCACCGATTTACTGGAAACCCCAGAGACCCACTTCTGCAAGGCCACACTGCACTGTTCTGCCTAAGAATAGCCTGCGCAGCTCCATGGTCTCTGCATGCTCTTGCCTTCCCTTTGTAAAGGAAGGCTTTGGGCAACTCTGCTCTACTTGATGAACAGAGGACATATAGTGAGCCACATCTCAGCTCAGAACACTTTTCGCTACCAGGCTGGGAATAGCAGCTCAGTGCACTGCAGAATTCCTGTCTTCTTCCTCACTGCTGAACTGTAGAAAATGTCCCAATTACTACTTTATAGGGCTGAGATGTGCTTACATCCTCATCTGCTAGTGTTCAGGGATGGGGGAAGGTAAAACACTTCTTTAATCTCTCCTTCCTTCTCAGTTCTGGAAATTGTTGTTGTTGCATATATTTTACAGTTCTATGCCAGAACCACTCTCCAATAAGATAGAAGGCAGCAAGAAAACCTGGAGAGCTTCCACATTCCCAAGGCCTTGGTGCAGTGCAAGTGCTTTCTCACCTGCATTGCTGGGGAGCGGTAGGGCTGCCTTTGCTTCCCTTTTAGCAGCATCTCCCATAAATGAAGTTTTGCAAAACACAGCTGTAAGGTAACAGACTGTGCTGCACACTCTGCACTCAGGCCAGATTCTCACAGCAGGACAAGGGTTTAAGACAAGCTATCCATAGCTTACTTGCACACGCGGGTCTTGCAAATTCCCCTCTTACCCCTCCCCCAGCTCTACTTGGAACTCCTACAGAAGGGGATCCTTCATCCACCCAGATCACGTTGCCCTCATGCGCAGTTACACTTGCTGCAAATCTATTCCTAAGCACAAGGACACAGAGAAGCAGACAGCAAAAACAGCTGAGCAAAGGGGGAAGGAGAGGTAAGAGCTCACCACGTGCTACTCAGCCACCGAGTCCTGACAGCCAGGACAGACAGCTGACAGAAGCAAGGCTCAAACAAAATGACATAACCACCAAAATGCCATGGGAGATGTAAATCAAGAGCAATTGCTCCCCTGAAATTCTACACCACCGTGCAGAGGGAGGGGAGCGGGCAGGGCAGCTAGTGATCATGGGCAGCAGCCACACCAGAACTTGTGACAAGAGGTCATCACCCCACACCCCATCCCTCCAGCACCACACAGCCTGGCCAGAGACCAGAGGAGGAGTACAGCACTCCGGTCACAAGGTACAGGAAACTATTTCTGGTCAGGGGGAAAGCATACCACGCTCTTCTGTCTCCAGGGCAACAAAACAGGCAAACTCAAGCACAACTCGCAGAGAGAAAGCATGCTGCAGCCCCAGGAGCACCAGCCCACAGCAGCCAGCCGCCGCAACCAAGAGCAGAAAAAGGTCAAGCTGGGTGGGCTTCCTGCTGTGAGTCCCGGGGGATCATGGATCCCATTCTTGCAGGATCACCCATCCTGTTGCAGGCAACACCAGAATACAGCCCAGCCTGTGACAACCCAACCCCAAACAGAGTTCCATGTAGGTGTTTGATTCTTGATCCAGGGATCACTGGCAAAGTTGTTTTGGTACTCATGGGAAACAACCTGGTACCTAAATGCATGAGGTATAAACACAGAACTGCAATTTTCTTACCTTTCTCTGGTCTAACAATGCTTATTTCCAGTAGGAGACAAAGAAACAAAATTATACGAGTCCAGCAGAGCAGTCAGAGGCCAGACTTTAACATCTCTTATACAAAGTCTCACCAAATCCTAAAAGTATTCCTAATTGTATTAGCATAATGATGGAAAGATGACATGGGTTCAGATCCCTGCCTTTCCAAGAGGCTGCAAAGAAAATTATTTCTCCTTCTTCTGCCCAAAACATCAAACTTCTTTCTGCAAGCCATTTGTGGAGTGAAGGTGGTTATTCTTAGTCCACACTGGAAGTACACCTTGTAGCTAACAGAAACACAGCATCACATCTATCTGACCTGCCTTACAAGGTCCTAGGCCTGGGACATCAGACCTATTGTCCACCTTTCACAAACTTATGAATTTCAATCAGCAATGCCATAAATTGTCTAAACCAGAGTATATCCTTTAGAAAATATAAAGGCTTACATTCAAGACTTCCAAGTGATAAGGCCATACACCCACAGAATTTCCCCCAAATGTTAGTTATCCTTCCTGTTAAAATTTAGCACTGCTGTTCCAAGTCTGAATTCATTTACCTCCTGCTTCCAAATACTGGATTTCATTAAGCTCTTTTCCTGCGACATTACAGCGGTGTCTAGCCCTGAACAATAGCTGATGCTTAAAACTTAAGTGCAGGATATTGCAAATGCTCATCTAATATTCATTTACTGTTTTCCAGCCCCCAAAAAAAGATAATCTTGCTCTTTGGACAATTCTTCTACCTACAGTCTGAAGCAATGAGTACTGACATGGACAGAAAAGTGCAATCTACGTAGCTCTTTTGGAGCAGGATTTAAAATCTAAATGCTTAAGGAGACGGTGCTTAAAAATAGCAGAAGACAATTTTCTTGTGCTTGATACACAAACAAAGGTGTTAATATCCATTTCTTTTTATTAATCCTTTATATGATATGATTTCTGTATCTTGGTTCAGAACATGAGCCTACATTTAACCTAACCTTTAATATTACTGCTCTGCAAAAACTGTGTTGTTCTAGTAACATTAATAACATGTTTCTTCAGAACATACCTGATAAGAAACTGCCTGTTCAGAGAACTGGGATTTCTTTGGGTTGGGTTTTGATCTGCCTAGGGATTTACTTTAATAGAAAACAAGAATGATTGTGTTAGGATCATTTATGGAAGTTAAGAACCTGCTAAAATGAAACTACTTCATTTTATACAAACATGCAGCCCATTCACTGGGACATGACTGCTCATGCACAATGGGCAGACAGAAGTGGCTATACACAATTCAAAAAGTCATAGCTGTAAGAATCTCTAACTGTGCAGGCTAAAACAAAAACAACCCTGCCCAAGTACCCAAAGCAACAAACTACAACCATGATTGTTTGACCTGTATATTATAAATGCAACAACTTCAGCCAATAAACAGAATAACATAAGGTAGAAGAAAGGTATACCCAACAGAAATAAAAACTAAAATGCTGACAGCTTTACTTCATGAAAATCTGGAAATCTCCAGCAAGAATATGGGGAATATGACTAGTTTTATATTGATGCATATTTCTTACTCTTTTATAAGAAATTCATTGTCTGACAACTTCAGCCCGTACCCCAAAAACGTGGTGGCAGAGATGGATGAATAACGTAAGACCCAACTTCTGGGCTCCATTTTTCTTGGGGAAATTGTTTTCCAGTTTTCTGCTCTAGTCACTACATGCACAGATGCTTCACAGGAGGTTTTCCCTTACCAGGTCTTCCTCCTCCTCCAGGGATACCCAAAGCCTGGAGGAGAACCTTTGAAGATGCACGGATAGGGTACAGGACATCTACCAATCCCAGTAGTCTAGAGCTGTCAGGTGAGAAATTTTAACATAACAATGACAAAAAGAAGAAGAAGGTCACTGTGCCCAATCAGCCCGTCAGGAGGCTGTGCTGAGGAGAAAAGGGACTGCCAGGGAAGCACAGGAAGACCTGTCTGCCAAGGTGCACATGCAAAAGGCAAGAGTCTGGAGAAAAGACACCTGCAACAAAGTCAGAAAGGAGATCAGTCCAAAGGCAAGCAGGGCAAGGGCTGAACTTGAGCTGGGGAGCAGAAGACGACGGTTAGGTGTCAGGTGCCGACACTGCTGCCCTGCACAGGCATCACA